CATCTGTGTCTCCTGGGTGCCCTGAAGCCACTCGATAGTAGGCAGCGCCTGCTCTGGGCAGCCAGTTGGGAGGTAAGGTCCAGGGACCTGCAAATGCAACACAGGAGTTTGAAGAGTAGGGTTCTTGTGGTGAAACGGGCAAGAAGGCAGGCCAGCAAGGGCTGGGAAGAAGCCTAGGAGGGCTTCCAGAGGGAGGCAGATTGGAAATGAGACACTTGTAACACTAAATGAGGCAGAAGTTCGGATTTAATGGTTGATATTCCAGGGCCCTGTCTCCACCAAGAAGCTTCTCTGTGCCCCCTCCCCCCACTGTCACTTGTGCTTCCTCAGTGCCAGCTGTCACTTGCGCACCCTGTTGCTCTCTCACACATTCCAGCGAGCTTGGTGAAGACAAAACTTGGGGCCTGGTACCTTTTCATTCTCTATCCCAGAGCCCAACTGAGCCCAGACTCTTGACTTGACATGAATTATAATCATTTATCCCACTCCCCGCCCCCCTGCCCACCACCACCCAGTACTAATGTGATTCTCATCAGGCAGTTGTGTAGTGCAGTGGTTAAGAGTATGGACCTGGCCAGAGGGCCTGAGTGCAAGTCCTGACTCTCCCTCATTAGCTGTGCCATCTTTTGTGAGCTTCTCTTCTGGTGTAAGATAACAAGCCCCTCTCTCCTGAGGAGTGAATGCCGTAATTCTTATGAAGTGCTTGCATGGGGCTTGGAGCTCAATAAGGGCCTGATGTTAGCTACTGATGAAATGATATAACACAAAAAGAAGTGTTTAGGCATCTTCATCCCATGTCGCAGGGACCCCTTTGAGGAGAATGCTGGGGTGAGTGTCCCCTCTGCTCCCACGCTCATCTCAGAGTACTGACTGCCAGTCTGCCTGTTCCCAGGCCCAATGGACAGCAGAGATTGGGCCTGGTTCCTCTGGGTCTCCCAGGACCTGACCCACAGAGGGTTGTGGGGAGACTGGACTGCAGGACAACAGACTGGGTTACTGAGGGCCAAGTCAAGGATGGTTCCGGGGGTGGGATGCAGGGAAGGTAAGGTAGGGTCGGGGAGTCAGCAAGACTGTCAGTTATGACTCACATTCATTATACCCAGCAAAGTCGGAGGGAAAACCAAGTTGGGCCCCAAGCGACGTTTAATAATAACAACAGCAATAACAATACTATCAACAATAACTATTTATTGAACACTTACTATATGCCAACACCCCAATTAACACTTTATATTTCATTTAATCTTTTAAACAACTGCGTGAAGTGATTTTTATTCCCTTTCATGCAAGAGGAAACAGAAGCTCAGAGACATTAATTAAGTCTCTTGCCCAAGGCAATGCAGGTGGAGCCAGAACTCAAACTCTCGCTCTCAAATACCGCAGCAGAGGTCCCTGTAGATATCAGAGCCAAGTGACTGGCCCAGGAAGTGGGGAGGTCAGTGGGCGTAAAACCACCCTCACTCTCATTTCCCAGACTGGCCCTCTTGGTGACAAAGGCCTCACTGCTATCTCCCAGGGAGCCCTCTCTAGGGCTTGGACTCTCTGAGCAATGCCCCCTCCAAGGCAGATCTTCCAACTGTGACTTTCGCTTAGATGCTGTGGCCCCCAGGGAGGTCTGCAGTATGGCTGGGGCCATAAAGCTAGGGGAGGTGACTCGGTTCCTCTCCCTCAATAGCTAGGCACTCCGTGGTTGCGCACCATTTTCTTTCGGTGCTCCACCGTGCCTGCAGAGAAGTGCTGGGTACCAGCCTCTTGCTCTCCTGTTCCTAATTCCTGGCCACCCTAAACCTGCAGCAACCCTGTGGGGGCTCAATTTGTCAGGACTAGGTAAGAACAAATCTGCTCTTCTGTTTCCTAGGGGCTAGTCCTGTGTTGCTGGCAGAAATTATGATCTCAAGATCAACTGCCCCACTATGTGGCTCATAGTGCTTGGCATGGAGCAGCCCAGTGCAGAAGGGAGTGTGTGGACACTGACCAGGTTTGAATCTACTCCATCACTTCCTGCTGTGTGAACTTGGGCAAGGTGTGACCCAATCTCTCTAAGCCTGGGGGACTCATCAGGGAAAAGAGAAAATGAAGACCCTTCCTCATGGTATTGTACACTTAGCACAAAACCTGCGACCCCAAACGGGCTTAATAAATGATAGCGCTTGCCATTGAAGACAGATGGAGCCACCTCCCTAGGACAGCCTTCCTTGACCACCCTGTTTAAAGAAGGACTCATATTTTTCTTACTCATAGCACTTTTTCTTCAGAAGCACTCAGCCCAGTTTGTAATTATACACGTGTTTGTTTACTTGTCCATGAGAGCAGGGACTGTGTCTGTTTCCACTGCTGGATTCCTAGCACCAAGGGCAGGAACACAGTAAACGCTGGCTGAATGAATGACACTCCCTGCCTGGTCTTCTTCAGGCAGAGCAGGACAAGAACATTCTGCCTTTTCTTGCAGGACTTAGCTTTCGGAGTCCTGTATATTCCTCAGCACCCCGTCTAGAGATGATCCTGCAGTTGGTACAGCTGGAAAAGGCTAGATACTGTTTGCTGTACCAGCCACAAAACAGCTGGGGCAGAATAGCTGAGTGGAGCCTGAGGCTGGATCTTACACTCACCTTTTTGGCCAAGGTCCTTCATGGATGATGGGGTCATTCAGGAACTGCTTCTGCCCTTCCACCCATCTGCAGCTATTTGGTCTGTGGTTTCACAGCCACACCAAGTCTCCAACAGAGCCCTGCTTTGGCCCCTCTCTCACCTGAGGCTGGGCCTGACTTTCAGAAGCTTCTCTGCCTCCCACTTCCCCTCAGTCCCAGCTCCTTCCAGGTCTCCCTTGCCTCCTGCCCTCAGCTGAGACCAGGGCCCCTTGGCCTTGGCAGATGTGTGAGGCTGGGGGAGGCACTCTGAGTCCAGATGTGATTGTGTTTATGTTTCCAGAGAGTGAGGGGTGGGAGCTCTGGATTGGAGCCGCTGGGGGAGGGGTGGTCTGGCTCCAGCCCCCTGCCCCAGCCTTCCCTCCCCCCACCTCCCTCCTCCAGCCTGTGTAGCTGGCTCTGTCCCTCTCAGAATCCCACACTCCAAATCCTACGGCATCTGTCCGGGCCATCCTCCAAGAAGGACCCTTCCTCACGCCTCATCTGAAGGTGAGAAGACCAGTGGAAAGATGCCTGGCTTTGGAATCTAAAGACTATTGACTCAGTGTGACCTTGGTTCAGTTACATCGTGAGGTGGAGCCTCAGTTCCATCAATTGTGTACTAGGGACAACACTCCTGACCTCAGAAGCAGTGTTGACCTGGTTTGAGATTGTGTGCACAGGGCTCTCCAGCTATTAGCTCAGGACTAAGCCCATGGCTGTGCCCCACTCCCAGCTAGGGCTTGCCTGGGTCCAGCTCCAGGGCAGTGCCATTCCCTGTCACAAGGTGATTCTAAAGCACCAACCCCTGCTTCCTCCGCCGTTGCAGCTGCAAACATTTTGTTTTGCCATTAGAAATGACTTAAGAAAAGCAGAATTTAACAGGCAGTTTACAGGCTGGTCTTGTTCAGTAGTTTCCAAAAGCCGGGGGAAGGTGGCAGCAGCCGGGAGTCTCCAATAAGTTGAGATGGAAGGGAAGTGAGAAGTGAGTTCTGTGTGGTGGACACTTTCTATGGCAAAACCACATGCCCCTGCGTGGGATTTTGGGCGGAAAGGTGTATGGAGGCCCTGGCTAGACTTTGGCGGATCCAGCACCCTCAGCTCTCCCGGAACAGCCAGGGCAGAGCTCCAAGGTGGCGGTACGGGGCCCACAGGAGGAAAGGCAACCCTAGCCCTAAAGAGCCTCTCAGCCGCCCCCACCCCAACACTCCAGGCTGACAAGGGCCGTGTAGATCCTGAGGGCCTGGAAGGTGACCGCAGACTCAGCCTGGATGGAGCTTGCAGAGTCGGACGGGGGGGAGCGGGGGTTCGCGGCGAGGGCAGCCTGCGCGCAGCGCGCGGAGGCTGAGCGGAGCCAGCCGGTGAACGCCGGGCGGCGCGGAGAAGGGGCTCGGAGTGCCCGGCGGCGTCCTTAAGGGAGCCGGGCTGACAGGTCAGGAATAGTGGTAGGGAAGTGAGGGTAGAGGCCCTGGTGGGGTTTGCCTGGCTCTTCACTTCGGGGGGTGGCACAGTTCCCTTTCTACCCGCCTCCCTCCTCAGCCGAAAAAAAGCAGTCGCGGCTCGGCAGTGGTTAGCACGCTCGTACTATGGTTTTAATAGACGTACATGGACAAGTCGATATAGACAGATTTATAATTCTATACAGTCAGTCCGACATACACAGGGACGCTGTAAACAGGGGCGCGGGCCGGAGAGCGGGTGTGCAAATTGGGCGCAGCGCGGGGCCCTGGCCGCGCCCCGAGCTCTCCCAGCTCGACCCTTGTGCGGCGGGCGATGAGAACGGGGGTCTTCGCCAGGACAAGGGGGCCAACTCCTAGCCCGGGAGCTGAGCAGAGGGCCTGGGCCGGCGGCGAAGCCGGGAGCTAGGGTGCTCGGAAGCGAGCCCTCGCCCAGCCTCCCGCCGCGTCCACACCTCCAGCTGCGGCTCCACAGCCTTAAAACAGGACTCCGCAGCGCGGGCAGGGCGCGGGCTCTTGGGGGGCACGCCGAGGCCTTGTGCGGCTCCTCGGCGAGTCCCCGGTCCCGGACTTCACACCGTAATCCCCGGCCTAACGCCCGCTCCAACTGGGATCCGAATCGAGCTATGACACGCTCGGCCGGGCCCAGCTCGGAGGGAGCATGCTGGCTCGTACG